TAATAATAATAATAATAATAATAATAATAATAATAATAATAATAATAATAATAATAATAGTAATAATAATAATAATAGTAACAATAATACTAGTAGTAATAATGATAATAATAATAATAATCATAGTAATAGTAATAGTAATAATAAGGATGATGATGATGATTATAAGATTAATAATAATAATAATAATAATAATAATAATTCACATCATCAACAATCAACATCAGTTAATTTTAATGATCTGTCGATTCATCACTTCAATGCTCAATCATCACAATCATCACAACCACCACAACCACCACAACCACCATCTTCATTAATTCATCATCGCATCGATGATTCTGCCCATCATATTTTGAATTCATATCAATTTCGATATTTATCAGCCTTAAACTCAAATCAAACTCAAACTTCAACAATGACGCTTGCTAATCCATATGCTACTGCTACACCTACTCCTGATATAGTAGCTACTAATAATATTTTTCATACTACACCGTTAAGTTCAACTGGTTATTGGGGAATACCACCGCATGCCGATCTCGCACAATGGACTTCTTTTATGGAGGCACAACAAAACAATAATCATTTTTCTGGTCATACATCAACAACCACTTCCGGTGATGGTAGTCATCACAGAGTTCAAATTTCACAGCCCAATCCTGACACGGTACCTTCACAACCATAATTTAATTCATCATGTAATAATTATTTATTTAATCAGATTATTTAAATATATACACATATATTAGTGTTAGTAATTTAATTTGGGGGGGGAGGAGCGTGCTGTAATAAAACCAAAGTGAAAATAACGAAGTTCAAATTGTTAAACATCACAGTATCACGAACTTCCTAAAAACTTCATAACATTGAAAATATGATGTTTTCGATTTTTAGCATCACATTTCTCGTAGGAAAGATCGATGCCGGAATCCTATATTCTTAGGACATCAAAATCAAAGATTCAATTAATTTAATTCTAAAATTAAAATAGTTTAGGCAAGAATCTTTTACAAAATTAATTTTTTTGGTTTGCTTAACCTGGCAGGTTCAGTTTCGACTTCAGGAGTCGACTCTGCTGTTTGTCGCTTATTTATTAATTTGATTGGTAGAGGAAAAATCACGTTTTTTTAGAAAGAAAACTTGCTACAAGTCATGTGGAAAAGTATGGACCAGTCCAAAAATGTTGTTCCAAATATAAATTTTTTTGTCCCTGTTGACAAAGAATTACCAAATCGGAGAGAATACTAAAACAGGGTAGTGAATTATATAAATTCAGATCATGTCAATCTGAATTTACCTAATAATTATTAAGTTGTATAATTGTACATAATATATTTCATATTTATTGCAAGATAATTTTTTTGTTTTTTTAAATATTTAGAAGTGATTGATTGATAAGAGGATAAAAACAATAAGAATAAGAATGAATAGAGAATGAAATATTAATTAAGGAATAATTATATTAATAATACAAACTTAAAAATATATTTATATAAAAAATACAAAAGAAAATCAAATACATTCATGCAAGAAATACAAAAAAATCAAATTTTATATTTTGAATTATATTAAGTTATAAGAAATATTATAAAAACAACTAATATATATACATATACACACATACACACATACATATATATATATATATATATATATATATATATATACATATATAAAATATATACATATCTATATATTTCAAACAAGACTTCTAATACAAGAAATTATTAATTGAAAATATACAAGTTTTTTTAATGTTAATAACTTCTTTAAAATATCTAAAAAAAGTTTTATACATCAGAAAATTTTTTGGTGTGATTTGTATCAATTTTTATTATTAGTTATATATTAATATATATCAGAGTTATTAATACATATCAAAATAGATATTTGATATATATTGATATATATTGGAGTTATCAATATATATTATTTAATGAAATATATTATTAAATATCATTATTTAATAAAGTATATCATTAAATATCATTATTTTATGATATATATTATTAAATATCATTATTTTATGATGCATATTATTAAATATTATTATTTTATAATGTATATCATTAAATATCATTGTTTAATGGACTAGATTATTAAATATCATTGTTTAATGATATAAATTATTAAATATCATTATTTAATGATGTAAATTTGTTAAATATCATTATTTAATGATATAGATCATTAAATATTATTGTTTAATGATATAGATCATTAAATATCATTATTTAATAGTATAAATTTGTTAAATATTATCATTTAATAGTATAAATCATTAAATATCATTATTTGATAGTATAAATTTGTTAAATCAACTTATTTTATTAAATATTATTGTTTAATGATTTTTATTATTAAATTTAGAATTCTTTATTATTAAAATGAAAATCTATTTAATAAATATATTACTTTAAATACAATTTTAATAATTCTCAACTAATTGATTAATATTTTTGTCTTCACTTTCTGTAAATAAGTCATTTGCTACATAAAAATTATATACTTCTTGTTAGATAATATTGTTACTTATATTATTATTATCTTCATCATCTTCGAGTTCTAATCTATTTTTTTTTCATCATATCTTTCATCTTCAATAATACTCATCAAGTCTTTATATGTTAGATTTGTATTTTTTTAATATATTTCCTAAAAGAAAATTAATATTAGTTATAAAAGATTATATATAGTATAGAGTAAAAGCTTACTTTGTATTTATCTATATGGTATTGCAATAAAGTTTTGCTTATTTTGATTGATAGATAATTTAGATTTAGCATAATATTATATACACTCATGATATATGTATATAAGTTAATGGATAATGGTTTTTCACAAAGAAATAGAAAGGTAATACAAGTGATATGATTAATATTGCTAGTGCCATCATTTTCAAGTTAAAATAACTTATTATAATATTTAGTCACTTCTAATGATACTTTTTATTCAGAAATTTTCTTGAAATTTTTTTGAATATTAATTAGAGATAAGCTATTTATTCTAAAAATATGAAAAATTACTTTCTTAACTATCATCATATTAAAACCACATATATTTTTCATTCTTCTCATAATCTAATTAAGATATAAAAATTATTAATAAAATTCAATAAAACTATAATTATGATAATTACCGCTAAGTGATATTATTCAAAAAAAGTATTAGTCCATTCATATTTTCTGATTTCTTGCAAATAATTAAAGTGATTATGGTTGAGCCAGGATTCAAATCTCTTCTTATAATTATTGAATTATGATTATAGTTTAGTTAAAAAAAAACTCAAACAGACATTGCTATAATCATCCTATAATTATTTAAATTTTGAATTCAATAATATATATAAGAGAATTAAAATAATATATACTTATAGTCCATATTTTTTTACTTAAATCTATTTTTTTGTCTTGTTTCTTTTTTATTTATGTCTTAATTCTTTCTAATTTATCAAATATCATCTTCTAGAGTTCATAAATTACTTTGAGTTATCAATCTTATTTTAATATAACTTCATTATAATATTTTTTACATTAAGTATGCTCATCTGCATCATATAGTTTAAATGATATTCTTGATGAATCGGTTAATATTTTAGGTAAACCAGTGAGGGTAGATGATTTTGATAAACTAGAAGTAGTGGCAGTCTGTATATGACTTATAAAGTTAAAAATTAATATTTAACAATACCTATTAAATGATATTTAATAATATTAATTAAAGATTACCAGAAATTAGTTTTGATGTAGTTGATATTAGGTTGAATATATTTTCAGATTGAGAATATACTATTTTAGTAAAAGAACTATCATCTGAAAAATTAGTTTATTGTTATATTTATTCTTTAGATATTATTTTAATAAGATTTGAATAGAAAGTATAAATAAGAAAGACAGATTTCATAACAAGTTATTTAAATAAGAATTCTTATCCATTGATTAATGATAGCCTCCTCTTGGAAAATACGTAATACATCAATAATTAGAAAAATACATTATATAGAAATAAATAATCTTACCTATTGATTAATAATAGCCTTCTCTTGAAAAATACATAATATGTTAATAATTAAAAAAATACATCAATAATTAGAAAAATACATCATATAGAAATAAATGATCTTATCTATTGATTAATGATAATCTTGAAAAATGTATAACATATCAATAATTAGAAAAGCAATAGTTAGAAAGCAAGTCACATAGAAGCAAGTGATTTTAACTGCTTAGAGTATATATA